GGTTGGTTTGAGTGGAAGCTGCTTTGAACCTCAGGGCAGCCACACACATGCACACAGATGCACGCACACAGGCACACTTGCAGTGTGGACACGTGTCTGTGCTTTCCCACCCACTTGCTCGGTGACCTCGATCAAGCTACTTAATCACTTAGGTCTTCAGTTTCCTCATCTGTGCTAGAGAACGTGACCGCTACCTCCCGTGGCTGTATGGTTAGAAAATATATATGCAATGTTTTGGGCCGTCTTAGTAATAGCAAACCTTCCTCCGAGCGGTGAGCCCAGGTCTCAGCCACTGGAACGGGCTCAAACAGGGGGACACAGGCAGGAGGTGTTGCGGGTGGGGCCACAGGGTGGGCTCTCCAGGACACTACGGGGCAGCACTGGGAGGGAGCGTCTCCGCGGGGAAGCATGCTGGCGAGAGGCTGGGAGAGTTAGCCCAGGCCAGGAGCCCGAGTTAAGGAAGCTAAGCAGGGGATGGAGAGCTGTGTGGGGCAGGATGGAAGGCAGAGGGTGAGGAGTGGCCATGGAGCTGGCTCCTTTGGAACAACCAGATGCCAGCTGGATGAGTTGTACCCACAAGCAGAGATAGATTTTTGGAGCCAGAGCTTTGGACCACTTCTCAGAACCTGAAGACCCTCGCCATCCTGCGTACCAAAGCCTTCCTCCTGTCTGGCCCCAAGGGATGCTGGCCACCAGCCTGGGAGGGAGCATCCGTCAGCTCCCTGGGTGTCATCCAGATGCCAGGCAGCCCAGGTGCCTGGCCGAGGTGCCTGCATAGCATTATCCCGGTGGCCACGTGGGGCTCCAGCTACACTTCACCCAGGGCCACCCTGGATGGCCGAGCTGGTGGTTAGGATTGGGAGCCTGCAGGCCTGCGCGGCTTTTCAAGGTGAAACCAAATGGCCATGGCTTAGAATCTCTGTGAAGTGCAGGCCTGTGTCTCTCTGAGCCAAAGAGGCAGCAGGATAACAGAGGGCATTCTGCGCCCTTCCCCAGGAGCCGCGCCGCTGGTCGGGACCTGGGTTTTGTGGATTCGCTCCGCCACTGGGGCAGAGAGCCCCACATTCAGAAACGCTGCCTCGGGAGCTGGACTCTCTCCATCCGTATTTTACATGTGCTCCCTTGATTTTGGCTCCAAGGATTTACCAACAGCTTACTATGTTTGGGAAGATGTTTTTAGCTGACGGGATGAAAGGAGGCCAAAAGCAGACAAAGATTTTATTCTGATTTGGAGTATAGAGGCCACTCAGTAGTATCGCGAATGCCTTTTCCCCAGTGTCATCCCCAGTCTGGAGGTGCCCTGGACCCCGGATGGGCAGTCACTAGTTTATTAGAAAGAGGGGTTCCTACGTGTGCACAGCTGGTGGGGGCCTTGAAGCTGACCCCCAGGGTCCTGGGCGGCACCTCACTCGTGGGCTTCTCCCGCCCCACCACCTGTAATGGTTCTCTGGTACCCTCCATCCTCAGAGAACAGCTTCCCTCATCCCCACCTCCCCCGGGGGCAGCCCACCTTTGCTCTTTCCTTTTCTTCACTGTCAGCCTTTGGAAGGAGTGGTCTGAACTTGGTATTTCTGCCAACATCTCCTAACTGACAAGAAATGTGTGCTTCTCAACTTTTGCTCCCCCTGAGCCCTGGTAAAGGTTCTCAGTAATGTGACTTCACACACCACCACCAGGCTCCCACTCAGCAAACCCACTGCCCCCTTCTCCCTCCTCGCGCATCTCCTTACTCTTGTGTGAGAGTCACTGCAGGCATCAGTAGCCCAGCGAGGTTAAGAGGTTAGAGTCACAGCAACCCGTGTTCTTCTGATCCTGCCAGTGTGAACTCGGGGGACTGCCTGACGCTTTCTGAGCCTCAGTTTCCTCCTGTGCAAAGTGAGGATGATGACAGAGCCCATCTCAAAGGCTTTTGGGGAAGATTACACCAGACAATGCATGTGACGTACTTAGCAATGGTATGAAACAGTATTGTCACTGCCTCGTTGTCTGTGTTCTGTGCAAAACCTCACTGCTTCCATGAGATAGTAGTAGGTATCGCCCGCTACGCACACACAGAGTAGACCCAGTCATTTAATGACCTTGGAAAACACCGCATATATATCTTTCCTCCCCATTCTAGAAAGTCACCGTGCTTGCCAGTAGAGTCAAGGTTGTAGTAAAAACGCATGTAATGTTGATTTCCCTAGCAATGTCAAAACTGATTCAACACAGAGGCCTTTTTCACCCAACTTCGGCATCTCATAGGGCCAGCGTTCTACAGAACAGAGTTTGGGAAATGCCTCTCATGACATTGACACTGTCGAAAGTGTCCTGCTTGAAACGGGGTGGTTTGCACCAAAACTCCAGGATGCTGGCAGATGGGGGGCGAAGCTGGCCCTCAGAGGAAGGCGCTAGAGCACGCTGTCTGCAGGACGGGTAGCTGCGGAGTCAGATGGGCCCGCGCTACATCTTAGTGTGTGTGTCTAGCTCTGAGCAGGACACGGGGGCGCACCCAGGTGTTCCTCCTGGAAGGCAAGGAATGCATTCCAGTTCTCTTGAGAAAGGCAGACAAGACACCAACGTGGATTCTGTTTAATTTCTCCTCCATTCCTTTCCTAGGGCAGAGTGGATGGGAGAAGTAAGCATGTCCTTTCCTTCCTCATCACCTTGTTCACTGTTCCGAATGTTTCTTTTGATACAAACGCCTCCAGTAGCCACCAGGGTGGCCCCAACAGGCTGCCCCATTGGCTCTGCAGCTCCAGGGGGCCCCATACACGACTCCAGTCCCCACGCCCTCCAGCCTTAGGGAGACACCCTTCCTTTGGTGTCCTACTAAGGAGGGCTGGAGCCACTTTAACTGTATGGCGAGGAGACTCAGTGTCCCCTGTACCAGCCGCAAAGCTCTGGGAATTGTGGGCGCGGCTTCTGTTTCCCCTGGTTTCCCCTTTTTCCAGTTTCATGAATTTGTTCTCACTATTGATTCATGAGCTGTTCTCACCGCTCCTTCCCACCTGAGCCCAAATGAGGAACCCAGACTCCTGTCCTCGTTTCCCTGGCCAGGGCTTCTGCTGGCAGCGTGGGGTGAGAGATGGGGAGGAGGTGGGGGTGCATCACCGGTCAGCACAGAAACCAGCTGGAAATAGAGAAATGGTTCCTCTTCTCCCACCGTCCCCTCCCCTCCCCTCCCCTGCTCTTCCCTACACCTGGCTGTGGAGTTCCTGCCTCCCCCTCTCCACCTCTCCCGCTGCCTTAGAAACTCATTCTTCTCCTTATTAGGCAGAGAGATTGGGTTCTCGGTTTCCTTTCCCAGCTTCTATTTGCATATTCAAAAACTCATTAACACACCCTGCAAAACAAATTACCGCCTACTCCACGGCGCTTTTCTTTAGCAGCTCCGAAAAAAAATAATAAACAGCAGAAGCTCAGAAATTTCAGTCTTCCTTTGAATAGGATCATATGTGTTGTCAGTTTTCTCACTAAGATGAATTATATCATACCCGCCCTAGAGGGCAGAATCAGGCCTACAGTTCACTTCTGTCGGTATTCGCTTTAAACGGCAGTTTCTTTTTCTTCCTGTGTTTAGGTTGGAGTGGGGAATCATCACAACTGGGGTGACCCTATGGCCCGATTTGCATAGAACAGTTCCATTTCATCTCTGCTGTCCCAGACTGAGTACTAATAGGACCCCCTTTCACTCTCAGAAATGTCCTGGTTTAGACGATAAATTAAATGGTCACCCTATGTGAAGTGGCTGGTCTAGGAGCACTGAGGAGCGTTGTCCGTCCCAGCCTCACACCTAGGCCCCATCTGACAGCAGGTGAAGCCTTAAAACGGCTCTCAGGAGTCACTTTCTTGATTGCCAACCATCAACAGGGAAGAAGTCCAGAAGAACAAAGGGAACATACAGTTTGTGCAAGAGAAGCACATGTTTCTGGGCAGCGTGCGTGGGGACGCGGTGGGCACCCGTGAGCCCGTATGTATGTGTCTGGTTATCCAGCTGCTCTCTGTCTGTCTGTCTGTCATCTGTCTTATCTATCTCAAGCTTTGTCATAGTTTAAAGGTCTAATTCTAGGAAACATTCGAAGGAAGAATTTTAGAGCTGGAAGAGATTCTAAAAAAGAAGTCACCCCCAGGACAGTCAGGCAAATCACACAGCAAGTTTGTGGTGGAGGCAAGACTTGAACATGTGTCTTCTGCTCCCGACCCAGGGCTTTCTTCTACCCAGTCGTGCTTCCCTATTGACTCTATGCCATCCTCAGCCCACCCCTAAGGAGAAGAAACAAGTGCAACAAAAGATGAGAGGATTTTTTTTTTCTGGTGCTGTTGAGATTTAATTAGTACACAAGTTTTGGATCAGACAGATGGAGAAGCGAGTTTCAATCTTTCCTTGCAAGGGAAGTGATTGGGGAACTTTGTACCGTGTCATCGGTAGAAAGGGAATAGTACTTGTGCTACGGATTAAACGAGACAATGTGAAACATTGCACACCCAAAACGTTAACAGTTATTTTATACAATAAAGGCTTTCCTCTCCAGAGCATACCTCAAGGGTCTTGGAGAGAATTTCTTTTTCAGGCGTTTGTTAGAACAAGAATGTACCGAATTCATTATTCACTGGCACGCAAAGAGGATCACCCAAAATGTGATCCAGACAGCGAGCAAGTGGAGACACAGGAGTTAAGAGGAGCTGTGGGCAGGAGGCAGGAGGCCTGGCTCTCAACATGGCTCCATGTCCCTTCTTGGGGCGTCTGTGTCCTCCTCTGTAAAGTGAGGGCATTGAACTTGGTCTCAGATGTCCCTGCCAGCATGAACAGCCCATGTTTTCTTGCCTCTTCCTCCCAGGCTTGCCTTTCCAGGCTATTTATAACAAATTTTCATAGCTCCCGAGGAGAGAAGGAAGCAGTCCCATTGGACGACCATGGTATTGACTGAAATGCTTACTGAGGGACTGAACAGTATTCAAGATCACGCCCTGGCCTGTTACCAAAGATTAAGGGAGAGACGCTTGTTTGAGGGAACAGAGAGCTTGCCTGGAATAAGGCAGCTGTGTGTGCGCGATCCTCCCTTATGGGTGAAGGGACGCAGTTAGAAGACTAGGGTTCCAGCCCTGGCTTTGCACATCTGGGTTGCATGACCTTGGGCAAATACTCAACTTTTCTGTCTCATTTCCCTCATCTCCAAAAAAGAAAAAAAAGTTATTGTAGAATTCTGTAAGATTTCAACAAGATGAAAAGGTGTTAAAAGCCCAGCCTGGTGCTGGGACATAAAGGGTGCTGGTTCCAGATGCTTCTAGAGCATGGCTGCCTGGAGCTGGGGGAGCAGGCAAGCTCTGTCATATAAAAGATGCCAGAGGGGATTGGGGTTTTTGTCTTGGATTTGTGCTTCTCAGTCAGAGGCAATCTTGTCACCCCCCTTCCCCAGTTTAATACCTGGCAGTGAATGTCTGGAGGCATTTTGGGTTGTCACAACTGAGAGGGTTCTGCTGGCATCCAGTGGGTCGAGGCCAGCCCTGCTGCTAAACATCCTGCAACAGACAGGACATCCCCTTGAAAAAGTAACAGTGCTGAAGGAGGCGTTGTTTTTGGATGATGTACGAATTTTCCAGGGCCTGGCGCCCTGGAACTTAATAGGTACTTAATAGGTGTGGGTTGAATGATGTCACAGGGGGCAGGAGCGTCCCTCATTGGGTGATGTCACTGGGCAGTCAGGACCCGGGGTGGGGATGAGGATGGAAGATTTCAGTCAAGGTAAGGAGGCGTTTCTCGCCATCCTCACTGCCCCACTGCAGACAGGGCACCTTGGGAGGGAGTGAGCATCTCATCTCTGGGGTGTTTAAGTGGAAACAGTAGCCCCGTTCGTCAGGGATGCTTGTGAACAGAGTGTGGCATTAGACAGGGAGGGGGACTCAGGCTGGAGCCCTCTAAGGACCTTCAGGGTCTCAGACTGATGAGTTCACAGAGCTCAGACCCAGCAGGAGCCTTGGAGATCATGGTGTCCGAGTCCTCCGCTTTGCGGTGGGGACGTATGTCGGAGAGAGGCTGGGAGACTTGGGTAAGAGCCCTGTGCTGGTGGGATGCATGGCTCAATCTGCACCCCGCATCTCTCCATGTCTTCATATGGTTTCTCTGCTTGGCCCGCTGGCTCTGTGATTCCAGGAAGGATACTGAAGTGATGGAGCTTGCAGCTTTTTCTGGTTTTCTGGCTCAGGGGTTGGAAATGAGGCTTGATGTGGATCGCGGGCTTCAGAGCTGGCTTGGACCCGTGGGTGAGGGCTCCGTGAGGACCCTCCATACCAGTCTTACTAAAAAGCCCACCTGGCCTGGCTCAGATGCTGCCTTTTCTGGTGGGGTCTCCTCTGTGAAACCCTTCACGTGAAGTCCTTGTAGTCAGTGGACTCGCTGTGTCCTCACCAGGGGAGGCTCACATGACCTTGTCCATGGTGACCTCTTGCATCCACTTCTAACACTTTGTCCCCTTTCCCACCCCGTGAAGCCTCAGTTGCAACACTTCCAGCTGGAAGGGGCTTTAAAGTCACTACTCCTTCCCCTGACCCTCCCTCCGCAGGCCCATCACCTGTGTCAGGCCCACCCCCAACCCCCCAGTGTCCCTCACAGGGCTGCTGTGTGGCCGAGGCTGTTAATGTTTGTTGAATGGATGGATAAGCACATGAATGACTGGTCCCCCTATCTTGACCCCTGCAGGTCAAGGACGTTGTGGGCTATAACTCTTTGGGCCACTGCTTCTTCACGGAAGACGGGCCAGAGGAACGCAACACCTTTGACCACTGCCTCGGCCTCCTTGTCAAGTCTGGAACCCTCCTTCCCTCCGACCGTGACAGCAAGATGTGCAAGATGATCACGGAAGACTCCTACCCGGGGTACATCCCCAAGCCCAGGCAGGACTGCAAGTAAGCACCTCCTCTCCGCCCCCGCGCCAGCCTGGCCCGGGCCGGGGAGGGCCCTGTGCTGTGCACAGGCGACTTCCCAGCCCAGCATCCGACTTCTCACCCCCGGGGCTTCTGGGCCACTTGGCCCTCACCGCCCTTAGCCACCTACTGCTCTCAGCTGCTCAGACAGAGGGCAGGAGTGTGTTTTCTACTTCTGCCTTCTCAGTGTGTCTCCTGGGGACCCCTGTTCTCATCCTCGGCCGTTTCCTGCTGCTGGGCAGCACTGCCTTGAGCAGAGGAGGCAGGCTGCCACCTCGGCTGCCACAGGGTGTCCACGTGGGCACCAGCTGCACTGATGTCTCTCGAGACATGAGAGAGGCAGAGACAGGGTCCGAGAGAGACAGAGAGAGAGCTTCCTCTGTGGTCAGCCTTCTGAGTTCAGGGCCTCTCCCTTAGAAGCGGCCACTTCCCTGGGTTCTCCTGACTTAGATTTATTTTAAAACGCATCTCAGGTTTCACCCACAAACTGCCTCTACCTTCAGGAACCATGGCCCATTCCAATTCTGAACATTTAAGTGCTTAAATGCACTGCACTTTAATGAGAAAACCGAATTTCAGATCAACACATCAGCGGTTTCTCAAATCACTGATAAGAGGCTCTTCAAACCAACGTTAAGCTGCCCAACAGGTCCCCTCCCCGGGGGGCAGAATGGGAGCCAATAGCCTCTTGTCTGACGCCATCCGATCTCTGCCCCTGCCTGCAGTGCTGTGTCCACCTTCTGGATGGCCAATCCCAACAACAACCTCGTGAACTGTGCTGCTGCGGGGTCCGAGGTGAGCAGAAGCGCCCCTTCTGGTGGTGGGGCTGGGGCGAGGAGACGGCTGGAGCCAGCCCGGAAGGGTGTGCGCCATGAGCCCCAGGTCTAGACGTCCATGCAGTCAGGCTTCGAATGAAGAGGAGAAAAGCCAGCCTGAGAGTCAGGTGGACTTGGTTTTAAGTGATGGCTCTGTCCCTTCATCACACTGGTGGTGGTCACAGCTAATGAGTACCAAGCACTTTATGTGTAATGACTCATTCTTAGATGCCTGGCGCATCAATGTTCTATGTGAAAATACTTTAATTCTTGCATCAACCCTATGAGGCAGGTACTATATTACCTATCCCACCGGGAGAGGAAGGTGGGGAGAGCCAGCGTGCCCAGGGGCATGCACAGGATCCAAACACGGCATTCTGTCTACACAGCCCTGCCCTTACCCACCCCTCCCTGGTGCTTACCTTCCTGGGGACCTGGAGCAGGTCGGGTGCTGGCTCTGGGCCTCAGCTCCCGCATCTGCAGAATGAAAGGGGAAAGCTAAGAGCACTCACGAAACCCTCCCACTATGTGCTCCCCGGCCCCGACTCTGAAATCCAGCCATTTGGCGCTCACGGCTGATACAGTAGGACCCTGTGCAGGGTTTTAACAGTCAGGGTGGATCCCCCAAAATATATTTGCTTCACGCTTTTCGCTGTTTCCCGCAGTGTGTTTGGGGCTGGGCGGTGGGGCCGGTTTGGGTGGGAGCGTGAGACCCACTCCTAGTCTGCGCCATCCAGTCTCCCCAGCGAGAATCTCCTGGTGCTGAACTCTGTGGCTTTCCCCTGTGCCCTCCTCCACCAGGAAACTGGGTTTTGGTTCATCTTTCACCACGTACCGACGGGCCCCTCGGCCGGAATGTACTCCCCAGGGTACTCGGAGCACATCCCGCTGGGAAAATTCCACAACAACCGCGCACACTCCAACTACCGGGTAAGTCCGTCCGGGCTGCCGCCCCCCGCCAGCCCGGCCTGCAGACGGTTAGCGTCAGAGCAGCCGCGTGGCTTCAGCTGGGAACGGCTGCGTGCCTAGCCTTGGTCTTGAAGGAAGCGAAGCGGCCTCCTGCAGCCTCCCAGGCCACTGACCATCCTTAGCAAGGATCTCCTGTGTCTGTTCCTGCCTTGGCCTTGACTTCGCATCTGGGCTGGAGCTGAAAGGAAAGCCAGATGCTCTTTCACTCAGGCTGCGCCTCCCGCGGCCCCTGAGCCGGGCACCTGAGCCTGATTTTGCAGTTCACTTGGTGGGGATGGGTGCAGTGATGACCACGGAAAGCCAGGCCTGACCTGTAAGCCAGAGAAAATCAACGTGGTTCTGGAGGAAGATGAAGGCAGACTTGACCTCTCTTCTGTTGGCTTTTGTTTTGTCTCCGGGAAGTGGGTTCTCCATCCCTTTCTCCATCCATGCAGAGCTAAGGAGGCAGGTGGAAAACAGAAATTCCTCTGTCATCTTCATTTACTCTTCAATAGTTCTGTGTCCAGCACCAAGCGAGGTGCTGGGGAAAGGGACTGGGATCGTGAGTGTGTCAAGGACCGTCAGTCAGTGCAGCAATAAGACCATCATCATGGGACGTGGGAATGGAGCTGCTTGGGAGCAAGGCTGGGACCAGAGATGCTGTGCTGGGGGCAGAGGTGGTCTTGGGGATGCAGGGGCAGTGCACAGATAGAGCTCCGAATGTCAAGGTCAGTCTTCTGGTGCAACCCCTAGTGGAACAGATGAGGACACTGGGGCCCCTACAGGGGAGCGGATGCATTCAGGATAAACAAAAAAACAAACAAACAAAAAAGACTCAACCAAGGAGAAGCCCATAAAGAAGAGAAATCATCTCAGGATAGACGTGTGCTTACGCCTAGGAGGTGGGATGGGGAAGGGGGTTCGGGAAGAGGCTGGGCAGTGTGCACAGAGAGGGGACCCCAGGTAGCACAGAATGAAGAGTTTCACGGGGCAGAGGGTGGAGGTCAGCAGGGCAACAATGCCACTTGGACAGAGGAGGGAGAGTGAGTGCAGGCCTCCGAGTGGGCCTTTCTGAGGCTCCCGTGGGCCTGGGAGAGCTGTCCCCATACAGAACGGGCCCAGAGGCCATATCACCGTGAGGGGCAGGGGCCGTGGAGAGAAATACGTTGGTGGCTTGTTGAGACCCTTTCCTTGAGAAGTTTTCCCATGAGCTGGGGTGTGAGCCACGTAGGACCTGGGGGTCTGGAGAGGTTGGAAAGGGGAGAGATCCTCAAGGGAGGGTGGTTTCCAATAAGGAAGTAGGCAAGGACCCCTGGCCGCAGGATGGGCCTTGAGGAAGGTGGCGGGGCAGGAATGGAGCAAAGAGGACCCCTTGAGTTGGATTGATTCAGTTGTCTGAGCAAAGAGGGAGGCCCTGGGCATGTTGTTCACACCCAGTCAGCCCTGACTCCACACCACCATGAAGGTTCCTGCTCCAGGACCTCAGTGTTACTAACCCATCTCACAGAGGCTGCAACTGAGGCTTGAGAGGTGAAGGGATTTACCAAAGGCCATAGCTCACGAGAGACGAGCAGGGGATCCAGCCCCACTCCTACTGACTCGCATCACCACTGCTAATGATAAGTCAATTGAAGAATGCGATAGAGTGTCCTCCAATTATTCAAAGAAGAGATACCAAGTTCAAGCATTCCTAAGAGGCCAAGGGAATCCAGCCCAGAGGGGAGACTGAACGTGGCCTCGCTGGGCAGCGTCATTCAGCTGCCTCCACTCCCACTCATCCATGGCTGACAAAGTGGACACCTTTGGAGCCAAATAAGAAAGTGAAGTTCTTTCCCCGGGTCAGGCAAGAACCAAGACAAAACTGGGGAAGGTTCCCTGCCCCCTACCCCAAGGTCAGCATCTCCTTTAAATCATGGCAGACATATTTCCCAAGATGGCGTATCGATCATTCTTGATTTGGGGCCTGGGCTTGTAACTGCCCAAAGCCAGTGGGGGTTCTGGGCATAGACTTACCTGTCTGGCCTTGCACAAGACACTTAGCCCCTCTAGACCTCAGTTTCCTCATCTGTACCTCAAAGAGGATGCCTTTCTCCAGATCTGACTTGAGCAATGCAGGACAATGCAGCTTCTTCACCTCCCTTGCTGTCGACTCCCAACTTCTATTAATGCATCCTGGGGCATTCAAGAGTACCCAGGGATGCTAGATATGAGAAGATGCCTGTAGCTTGGTGGTAGAAGCTAATATGTCTCTGAATGTCCCCTCTCCCCAGGCTGGCATGATCATAGACAATGGAGTCAAAACTACTGAGGCCTCTGCCAAGGACAAGAGGCCCTTCCTCTCTATCATCTCTGCCAGGTAATCAGCCCTCGGGAACACATACGCTCCATCATTCACTCATTCATTCATTCATCAGGTATCTGTTGGGCACTTTTTTTAAATTTAATTTTTTTTAAATTTGGTTTTTTGGCAAGAGGGAGGTATCAGGTTTATTTACTTATTTATTTTTACTGGGGGTACCGGGGCTTGAACCCAGGACATTATGCACGGTGGGCAAGCACTCTACCACTGAGCTATACCCTCGCCTCTGTTGGGCACTTTCTATGTCCTGCGCCTTGAGCTCATTGCCAGGGGTACTGTGGTGAAAATCTGAGCAGGGCAAAAACTGAATTAGGGTTTAGTCTCCAGCAGCTGAAAGGAAAGAGAAATTTCTAGAAGTTTCTAGATCCCTCAGCAAAAGCCAGTACTTGCTTTTTAATAAGTCAACAGGACTGGCCGGGGCCCTAGCAGATTGGGCCAGGATGAAAAGGTGAAGAGAGAAGAAGGGAGGAGCTATGCCATCAATTCAATGGGAAGGAATATGCAGTTTTACCTACAGATAAATCTGGAGCTCAGCCAAAGGCCAGGGGCTGCTTTTAAAAAGCGCTGTCACAGGGAACTATATTCAATGCCTTGTAATAACCTTTAATGAAAAAAAATGAAAATAAATATACGTATGTCTATGTATGACTGGGACATTGTGCTGTACGCCAGACATTGACATGTCGTTACTGACTATACTTCAATTAAAAAGGTGGTGCGGGGAGAGTCAAAACCTCAGGGTGATTAGGGAAATCAGTACCCTTTAAATAGACCAAGTTGCTTGCTCCCTATCAAAAGTGGGTAACACCAGTGACACGATGATGTCCACGGAAGACTTTTGCTGGCCCGGACCTCAGAGGCACCCAGGCTCAGTGTTCCATTTGGTGGCTAAGATGTAGAAGCCCAGAAAAGGCCCAAGGTCAAGGTTTCCCCCGAGTAAGCAGAGAGCTGGGCGTCTCAGACTCTCCTTTCCGGACACAGAGGCGGCTTGGCTTGCTGGGTTTGGGACTGGCTCACCGCCCAGAAGGGGGCCAGCTCAGGAGGCCCCGCAACACCACCACCTGGGCCTCCCCTGCTGTGTTCCAGGTACAGCCCTCATCAGGATGCTGACCCGCTGAAGCCCCGGGAGCCGGCCATCATCAAGCACTTCACCGCCTACAAGAACCAGGACCACGGGGCCTGGCTGCGCGGCGGGGACGTGTGGCTGGACAGCTGCAGGTGAGCGGAGAGTCGTGTGGCATGGGCACAACGTGGAGACACGGCTCCTCCCCGGGGTAGGGGACAAAAGTGAGCAAGGCAGAGAGAGGAATCAAGTTGTGTGCCGATGTGTGACCTCGTGGTCGCCCAGCCAGGCAGGGGCATCAGATGGCAGCAGGACCGCCCTAAAAGCAGCATACGGCTTCAGCCCACCATGCCAGGCCCTGTGGGTCATGATTTGCCTCCAAATAGTCACTGGACTTGGCTCTGTCAGGTCGCATAACCAGTCAGCGAAAGGAAGGAAGAAGGAAACGAGCACGTTCTAAGCACCTACTGTGCGCTGACTCCTTTGTTGCATTCGTTTCTTACCATGTTTCTCAAAGATGTAAATCGTTGTCTCCATTTTAGACACAATAAACAGAGGCTCAGCTGAGTGAATTTCTCAAAATGTGAGTGGTTGAACTGAGACTTGAAATATCAGCTCATCAGACTCTAAGGCCCAAAGAAAGAAGACAGGGAACCCTGAGTTCTGATATAAGGTCCCACACTGGACAAGGACCAGAAGGGCCAGGCAGCCGAGCTGGGGTTTGCTCTAAAGGAGTACCGTGAAATGCCTTTTGCGTTATAAACGAGAGATCAGAAACTTTACGTGGGGAATAAATGTATTTCTCTATTTTACTGCGACCAATTAAAGGAAAAATGAAGTGGGACTTGCTCGTGAAAGGGAACAAAAGGAAATGAAAGTGTGTGAGGAGGGAACCAGACACAGATTTCACACATGCACATGCACACACACATGCACGCGGAAAGGCTTCTCAGAAAAGCAGAGGCCAGACACTGACTCAGGGATGGAGACCAGGCAGCCCCAGTGAGAGCCAGACACACGTGGGAGATGGAAAGGGAATATCTCCGGCAGAGAAACTGGGAGGGGGGGTGCTTTGTTTTGTGTGGGGCCAGAGAAGAGGGAAAAGGGAAGAAGGGAGCCTGTTCTGGGGTCCTGATGGGCGTTCTGGGCACGAGGAGGAAGGCTTGTTCCGATTGACTCGAGAGGGCGGAAGTTACAGATCTGGGCAGATTTCAGCTCAGCAGAAGGAAGAACTCCCCTGCAATACAAGATGCTAGTCAGTGAGATACGCTGCTCATCCCTAGAATAGAGGCCCAATGACACTTGAGAGGTGATGAAAGAGGAAACAGGTGGGGGCCAAGGCTACACTCCTCTGCAGTGGTCCACGTCCAGTGAATGTCTTGGTTCTGGCTGAAAGTTCAGGTCCCCGCGAAGGCAGTAGATGCCAGACCTAGGGCTGCAAGATGAGTTGTGAAGCCCCCCAACCCCGCCAATGGCAGGGGGTGGATTTTCTAACCCTCCACCAGACTCCTTCCAAGGGAGCCCCGATCTGGCTGGTGCCGAGGTTACCGTCCCACAAGTGGGCAAGGCTGGCACTGCCAGGGACTGACGGAAGATGGGGATCCCTTCAAAAACTTTGAGCATGTGGCCACTGTGTCCATTTCTTAGAAGGATCGTGCTAGCAACCACTGGGTTCAGGCAGCGATGGGAGGGGGCACTCCTAGAAGTGGGAGAGACAACCAATCATACTGCAGTCGTCCAGATGAGAAAGAATTACAGACCATGAGAACTTGGCTGAAAATGAGCCTTCAGGATAGCAAACAGGCTTAGCTGGAAGATGACTTCTGATTCATGTGTGTTGAATTTGAGATGCTTTTGAGATAACTCTATGGAAAGATCCCAAAGTTTGGAAGAGCAGGGAAAAGAAGAGCTGGTTTTAGTCACCAGCAGACTGGTGGGAATGGAAGCCGTGTGTCTTTGTGAAGTCCCCAGGGACACGGTAGACAATGAGAGGATCTTGGGCAGAGCACTGGGAGACGGTGATGATGAGGAAGAGCCTTGAGAAGACTGGGAAACCAGAGTCAGGAAGTTCTGGGAAAGAACTGTAGGGCACAGTGCCCCAAAGATGGGCTTCGAATGGTTAATTTGAACCAGATGGGCTTCAGCCAGAGGGGGACGTGCACGTGTCCGGAAGGAGAGGGAGCAGGGCGAGCAGAAGCAAACTGGGAACCAGAGAAACTTCAGGCAGCCAGGATGTGGCTGAAGCGGAGGGAAAGTGGTTCACCTGAGCCTTAAGCCTGAGGGCAAGGGCTGGGCTTAGGTTTATGGGTGATAGGAAGCCACTGGAGTTCAGGAAGCAGAGAGTGGTTGGTAGGAATGGCACTTGAGGAGATGGGCCCGGAGGGTGTCCGGGACAGGTGGGAGGAGGCCAGTTATATCTGCCCCCGGGATGAAGGAAACAAAGGCAGCCGCCGCATTTGGCCTTGGGGTCTACGGCAGCACGGACGCACGATCCACTTGGATTCTGTGTGACCCCTTGTCACTCACAAGCAGACTCCCTCGAGGAGCGTGCTCCTCCTGGTCCTCAAAAGGGACAGGGGCAAAAGGTGGCTGCAGTGTAATTGCAAAATGGCTTCCTGCCCCCGTCCTGGCCGGCATCTTCCTGACCTGTGGGAAACCTAGAAATCAGCTCTCTAGTTGTCCTTCCCGCTGTGGCTGGAATCGTAGTGAGGATGGCTAAGAGGAAATGGAACTGTGTCCACATGCCCCCCAGCTTTACTCAGTGCTGGCCCTGAGAGTGGCAAGACCCTCCATGTGCCCCCGGTCCAGCCACCCACTGAACCCTGGAATCACAGAGGAGGGTGGGCTGGAGCGGGAGGCCCGTGGAACCAGTTCTGCACACTGATAATGCAATGGGGCATCAAACACTGAGAGCCACTGCAGTCACCCTTTGCTCTTTGGAGTCAGACATGGAGTGGGCGGGGGCCCAGACTATCCCTTTGTTATACAGGATGGGCGAGCCACAGCTGCCTCAGCAAACCCTGTACTTGTGTAAGGACCTTTCCCTTGCCCAGGATCCAAAGTATGACCCCGGGGCAGGGCAGCGTCCTTCCCTTCACGGCTTCACTCAGCAAGGGCACACTCTGACTGTCTGCTCTTGTCCCCAGGTTTGCTGACAATGGCATCGGCCTGACCCTGGCCAGGTAAGAGCAGCTGTCATCATGCTGGGCCCTCGGTGGGACGCTGTCTCTGGACATCTCACCCCAGACATCTTCTCTCTACAGTGGTGGCACCTTCCCGTATGATGATGGCTCCAAGCAGGAGATCAAGAACAGCTTGTTTGTTGGCGAGAGTGGCAACGTGGGGACGGAGATGATGGACAACAGGATCTGGGGCCCGGGTGGCTTGGACCACAGCGGAAGGACCCTCCCTATAGGCCAGTAGGTTTGCAACCATGACAGCTTCCTGGTTCTGTGTAGCTTAACCTAAGTGGCATCAATGAAAGGAAAGACGCTAGTATGTAACTTGTACCTGTCAACTATGAATTCCTGTGTCCTCTACTGGTCAGAGAAATCACTGAAACAGTTAAATCTAGAATGGGGGAGAGAAGTCAAAAGACTGTTGAATATGAGTCAACAGGGTAACATAGCTATCAAAACACACCTGTAGTTCTGGGCTGTGTTAGTGGGAATTCAGGGTCCGGGATCGGCAACCGTGGCTTCCTCTCTCCCCCGGACAGCACGCCCGCTTGGAGCGTTTCATCCACTTCTGACCATAGTAGAGAGACAGACCAAAGCACTTACAGGAGAATAACTGGGCAGGTGGCACAACTCAAAGCAGTGTCACACACAGATGGGGACCTTCAACCAGAAGATGGGAACAGACATGGAGGGTTACGGGCTCTCTGCTGCTGAAGGCTGGATTATAACCGAGCAGTTGGGGAGGGAGGGGGTTACTCGGAGAGCTGACAGAGAAAAGAGACTCAGCCAGTTCCTTGGAAAGCCACAGCTTAGGTTAGCAGTGAGGAAATCTCTCCTTCTGATGGTGTTTCTGCTCAGATAGGAATTCAAGCCAGAGAGCAGGACTCTGGGCCACAAGCAGCAGGGGGACCCTGTTCTCTGAGGGCTAAGATCAACCCTTCCTGCCCTCTGAGCTTTCTTCTCTTTCTCTAGGAATCTGTCATTCCTGCCTCTCTAGGCAGGACACAGGCCTAAACTCCCAGCCCAAGTGGATGTGTGTCTTTGAAAAGGTTTTGCAGACAGAACCACAGGCCCCTTTGGCACGAGCTATCCAGAGCCCTTGTTTCTGTCTAACCTAAGTGATGTAGCAGTCTCTCCAGATCATCTTTGTGAGTGGCTCTGGGTCTGCATATGTGGGTTTCTTCGCTGAGGGTCACCCATCTCCCAGGGCCAGACTGCTCTGATGACTCCAGAGGTGCACTTGTTTATGGAGACCTGACAGCTCCGTCAGATTCAGGCAGGTTCCTCAGACTGCACTTGGGAGCAGAAACCTAGGACTGTGCAGTCTTCATGGTGAGGGATTCACCCTGTAGGGGCCTGGGTTGGGGGTCCCAAGGCAAAGTAAGCACACAGTTTAATAATAGAGCTGGTGAGAACCGGCTGTCCCTGAAATACCTTAAACGAAAAGACGCATGGAGCCACTCCTTGAGACCTGGGATGCAAGGCGATGACATCAGTCAGTTACAAATACTAAGATACAGAAACGCCAGAAGGCCTCGGAGTCGGCTGAAGGCACAGTGCCGGCACGGGCGTGACCAGGCGCTTCCTCAGGGAACCGTGTCTGAATGAGGGGAGCCCAGCATTGAAGATGGGGGCAGCTGGAATACAGCAGCTTCCCATGGACAGAGTCCCCTTTCTATTTGCTTTCCCCTCTTTCTGTCCTTTCTTCTCTATGTCCACTGTGGAAGGAGAGGGCCCTGGCCCAGAGGTAGAGATACCAGTAAGAGCATAAAAATCGGGCTTGCAGAATGAGCAAGCCTAGATTTAGGGCCAGGTCCAAGAAGGACCACCAGGAAGCCAGCCCCTCTTAGGCCCTTGCTTCCCACGCCCTGCTCAGGAGTCCGTGGCCGAGGAGAGAGGAGCCTCTGAACGCCCTACCCCTTGCATTGGGCCCAAGGCAAAATGTCCAAGTCACGAGTGCTCCTCTTGTCCCTTCCACCTCCATCCCCAAGCCTTTTGCTTCTTCGTACAACCTTTCCCTGCTTCCTGGGTCTCAGGCCCCTCTTAGGGTCCTCTGGCAGTTCACAGTCTTGTCCTCCTGGGTGGTGGTGGGGCCTGCCCTCTCTTCTAGCGATGCTTGAAAAGTTACATCGCAGTTATTTTACCATTTCATTATCACCTTCCATCCTGTGCCCTTCCTCTCCCTGGTCTCCCAAACCCAGTGTACTGCCAACTGAAAGGCTTACTCACAGAGAGGAAACTCATCAGCGTCTTAACTAATTAAATTGTTATAGCAACTCAGACTAAGGCGATAATGACTAATGGCTCTACTCTCCCAAGGGACCTGATACTGGCATGCTCCAGTAGTATTTACAGTATTTATCCATGACTCTTTATCGGATGGAAAAATCAAGAGAAATGTTTGTATAGAGGACCATCCTCTAAGTCAGCAACTAGACATCCATCTGTCCATCCATCCAGCAATTCATCCAGCAATCATTTACTGACATTTACTATGTGTGTAAATGCTTTCTCAGTGAATGAATTAATGAATCACTAGTGTTCTGTGGTAGGGGGAGTTTCTGGGGGTGGGAATCAGGAATGCTTTACCCAGAAAGTCTCTCACCATCCACCTTGGAGGGTGCAAACAGCATGGTGGCACATGGTGATCGGCCTGACATCTGGCTTCCTTAACGCCATAGGAATTTTCCGATCCGAGGAATTCAGTTCTACGATGGCCCCATCAACATCCAGAACTGCACTTTCCGCAAGTTTGCAGCCCTGGAGGGCCGGCACACCAGCGCCCTGGCCTTCCGTCTGAACAACGCCTGGCAGAGCTGCCCGCATAACAACGTGACCAACATTGCCTTTGAGGACGTCCCGGTGAGTGAGGCGCCGCGGCAGGCTCCCAGCAAAGCCAGACTTTGGGCAGTGATTCACAAGTCCCCCGGGGCCTGGAGTTTGAGCCGTTGCCACCACCGCAGGGGTTGAACAGCCTCCTCCAAGCAGGCTGGGCCACGTCCCAGATCTGTCTGTATCCAAACTGGAAAAGTACAGGCGTAGGTTGCCGCACACAGGTCAAGTCTGGGTAAATGCCCGCTTGCCCTCACCCTGCTCAACATGCACCCAAGCCGCGGCAGAAACCTTCGCTGCCCTCAAGGTTCTGAGGCTGTGCCTCCAAGGGGCTTGGCTTCCGCCTACCGAGTCTTGTAACCAGCCCACTTCAGTGGGCACAATTAATCTAAAAACCCCAGCAGTTTCCAAAGGAATCTTTGCAGAAGATGCTCTGTTTAATCTCTCCCTGAGAGTGGAACATAAATAGGCCTTCCTGGCCGTGCCGGCCGACAGACCAGAGCTGGGGGTGAGGAGGTCAGGACAGAGGGCTGCCCTGTGAGGCGAGGCAGGCCCAGGGCTCCTGGGGCATTCTCTTTGGGGTACAGATTTCCCAGACCCCCCCCTCCTGCCCTCTGCCTGTCTGCCCAGTTCCTGGCAGGCTGAGGGAAAAGATGTGAAACTCAAGTTACTTAATTTCTTTTCTTAGGCCACTGAAGGCCTGAAAGAGGTCAGTTGTGGAAATCTCCAAGGGCTCATGTTGAAAGACTGTCTTCCTGAAACAGTCATACATTCTTTCTCACACAAATCCACCCCAGCCTGTGTGTGTGTGTGTATTATATGTATACTTTCTCATACAAACATTCATCACCACCTCAGCCTCTTCCTCTCTCTCTCTCTCACACACACACGCACATGCACGCACACACACTTCCTCTCTCTCTCTCTCACACACACACACACACGCACATGCACGCACACACACTCCCCACCACCCCCATTCCTGCAGTGTTTTCAGCCATGTATCAGAACGCTCTCCAGGGTCACACACAGCAGCCAACCCTCCAGTGAGCAGAGGCCAAAATACCATGCTGGGTCTGAGAGTTGAGGCACAGTGAACCTTTGGCCGTTTTGCTGGCTCCATCTGAGAGGTCAGCTGCGTGGTTTCCTCCAGTGCCCCAGAGCATCTTTGGTTTGGCTGGTTTGTAATGTCAGCGGAAATCGGAAACTTCGCCCTGGCCCGATGACGGCTGCAGCTTCCCTTTGCCTGGCCCAGCCTAACTTTCCTGGGCTCTGTTTAGATTACTTCCAGAGTGTTCTTCGGAGAGCCTGGGCCCTGGTTCAACCAGCTGGACATGGATGGGGATAAGACATCAGTGTTCCATGATGTCGATGGCTCGGTGTCCGAGTACCCGGGGTCCTACCTCACCAAGGACGATAACTGGCTGGTCCGGCACCCAGACTGCATCGACGTTCCCGACTGGAGAGGCGCCATCTGCAGCGGGCGCTACGCACAGGTGAGGACGCAGGGCGCACCTCCCCGGGTGTCACCGGTCACTCACTCATGGGACAAGCATGGAGTGACAGCCTACTGTATGCTCGCCTCTAGGCCAGGCCAGAAAGAGATGGAGGCTTCTTTTGTATTCTTCTTTCTTTCTCTTTATTTTTTCTTCTCACTCAATAGGATTTTCAAAAAAAATCTAAGTGAAAACACTTTGTAGGCAAAATGCTTAGAGAAGGAGCTCTGTGAGGTCAGGCCCCAGCACTTACTGTGTGCCTCATCTGTGAGGGCAGAGTAACAGCTGGGCCCCCGCAGAGTGCCTCACCAGCCCTCTCCACCAGAAATACAGTGCAAGCCGTCCACATGGTCTTTTTTTATTTTTTAATAGAGATACTGGGGCTTGAACCCAGGACCTCATGTATGCTAAGGATGCACTCTCCCACTGGGCTATACCCTCCCCTAGACGTGATCTCAGATCTTCCAGTAGCCGCATTAATAAGGAAAAAGAATGGGGAGGGCGCAGCTCAGTGGGAGAGCACATGCCTGGCATGCACGAGGTCCTGGGTTCAAGCCCCAGCACTTCCATTAAAAAGTAAATAAAAATAAATAAACCTAATTACTTTCCCCAAAAATAAATAAATAAGAACAAAGGTTTAAAAAAAGACTTTTTTTAAAAAAGGAAGAAGAAATGGGAGAAATCTATTTAAATGATACACTTGATTTAACTCAATATATTCAAAATACTATCCTCTCAACATGTAACCAATATAAAAAAATCATGAATGGAACATTCTTTATGTTTATGTTTGTTTCCTGCCCTAAGCCTTCGACATCCACAGCACGTTTCATATTTATAGCCCGCTCAACCTAGATGCAAATTTTCTTCCATCAAAGCAACAGCTGTTCCGACCCCAACAGTAAAGCTGCGTTTCACGGACAACTGTTTTGCACTGTCTTTGGTTTGAAATTTAAATTAATTAAAATGAGATGTAAAATTCAGGTCCTCAGCCACACCGGTCCCACTTTTAGAGCCCAGCAGCTGCACGTGGCCAGCGGCTACAGTATGGGCCGGCAGGCAGGGGCAGTGCCTGCAATGGGAAAATGTCACTGTATTATTGTTCCTGATATTATTTGGAGGAACGACTGAGGAATAGATGAACAGGAGAAGAGAGACCCAAAGAAATGAAGGGCTGTCAGATAGGAGGGAGGCACGGTGAGCCAGGTGGCCCCAGAGCGGGCACGGAAACTAAGCACGAAGTTGTCCTCACAACCGCCCTACGGGCAGGCATTGTCACCATCAGCAATCCGGGTGTCAGAAAAAAGCTAAAGATGGTTTGGAGTCTGGGGAGGGTTGGGGAGGGGGCTACTGCCCGTGAGGGGAAAGGGCTCCTGGGGGCCAAGTGGGGGACCTGGGGGAGAGGCGCGCTCGGAGCAGGTGCCAGCGGGGGTGGGAGCAGTGGCGGCAGAGCCCAGAGGAAGGCGGGGCTGGCGAAGTCGAGAGAGTTTCTTTCCACAGTGGAGGGTGAGGTCGTGAACTGAGAGGGTGGAGCGTGGGCCTGAGCCGGGTGGCCTGCAGACAGAGATAACGCTGGGAAGGGCTGCCACCGAGACTGGAAAATGCTGACAAGGGGCGTGGGGAAGGAATGCCGGGCCCTGCTGAAAGCCGGTGGAGGCTGCCGATGGCCCCCCTGCAAGGGGCACCGCTCTCCCAGGCTGTGGGGTTTTCTCGGCCCTGTTCCAGAGCCCTGGCAGCGGAGGGGGGACCCGTGGAACAACCCAGGCTGAGGCTTCTGCTGCGTGTGTGCACAGGGCAAGGGATCTGATGCTACAGGAGCGAGCAGTTGACGTGATGGTCTGGGGCAGATAAGAAGGGAAGTGGAGTCAGAAGGGAGCTGAGAGACAGGAGTCATGACCCGAATAATTAAAGGGTGACCAAGCCCTTAAGCCTTGCAGCCACACTCTGCCAGTATCACAGCATCCCTGATTCAAGGGCGAGGCATCCCATGCAGAGCCTTGATCTTGAACTTCCCGCCCACCCTTTCTTTCCCATAGTGTTTATCTTGTGTAGAAAAAGGCTGATAGTTAGAGCTTGCCAGGTTATGACAACCAGGCTACTGGCTAATTATTAGTAATAACCTCCTCCCTCCACTTGACAGCTTACAAAATGCTTTAATGTTTCTCTAAGCTCTTGATACTCATGACAGCTCCATTTGAGGGTGGAGTTAAAGTTTCTCTTCCCATTTTATATGTAATACAACTGGAGGCGAAGATAACCCCTTCCTTCCAAAGGCACAACATTATTGCCCCTTGATGTGATGGTCTATCTTGGCCACAGCTACAAGGATGTCATTTGATGAATGTGAGACAGGTTCTCAAACAGGTCACAGTGTTTTCAACAAAGAGGGCTCTTCGGTCCCTGGGACTCAGTGGCTGACAGTCTTGCTTTCGGTTTTTCTCTCTGAAATGAGATGTCATTCACTCCCCGGGGTGTACTGACAGGCACATGGACTGACCACAAGGGCCAGACACTGAGAATCAGGGGAAGACCTAGAGCCGCACACCCAGGCTCTTTCTCAAATTCACGCAGGACAACAGCCAGTTAAAGGGGAGTTGCGTTTGCAGCAGAAGTGTCAAAATTCTCTCTCCCCCTCTCTGCCTTCCTTTAGCTCCTGAGTCCCCGCCTTTTCCCAAAATTTGCCAGCTGACTATTAAGCAGACTCCCCCCAAGTTTCCACTGGTCTCTCCTCAACAGAGCACTTTTTTGAAAATGTGCAGAAAGCTTTAGCTGGATCGCACAGTACGGCTTGGGCTGCCTTCACCAGCAGAAAGAGATGCCCCCTTATTTGGCCTCCTTTCATTCAAGCTTTCTAAAAAGAGCTCTGTTCAGAGAAAGTGCCTTTGAAAGTGTAGTCTGTAGTCAGATGTTAACCAGACGCTCTTGGAATAATCCCTTGTAATTGCCCCGTTGTGTGTTTCCTTTTTGGGTTTTAAAAGATGTATATTCAGGCCTACAAGACCAGTAATCTGCGAATGAAGATCATCAAGAATGACTTCCCTAGCCACCCTCTCTACCTGGAGGGGGCCCTGGCCAGGAGCACCCACTACCAGCAGTACCAGCCAGTCATCACCCTGCAGAAGGGCTACACCATCCACTGGGACCAGACGGCCCCCGCCGAGCTCATCATCTGGCTCATAAACTTCAACAAGTGAGTGGGTGCCTGGCGGGAGCAGTGTGACCTGGGGACCGCTGCTCTGACGGAGCTCCAGGCGGCGGTGATAACGAAGCCTCGTTGCAAGGTCCCGGGCTTACCGCTCACGGAGCCTCAGGCTAGCCCATGTCATCCCTGCAGGAGGACGGATTTAGAGGGCTTGACATCGCCTAGGGGTTAAGAATCAGAAGACCTGGGCTGAGCCCCCTTTCTGGGTGTGGGCGACCTCAGGCAGGGCATCTACCCCCTTGGAACCTCAGTTCCTTCATCTGGGAGATGGGGATACTGATACTTGGCAGAAGTGTAACGAGGATCGAGCAAGGCAGCGTAGGCTGGGCATTTTGCCCAGGACCCGGCTTTACGAAGTGCTCGATATATGGTTAAACATGCCTGGCAGCTGTCGCTACCGTTTTACAGAGCGGGAAACGAGGCTGCGAGGCCAAGGAATTAAGCTGAGGGCGTCTGGATAGGGCGTCATATATTTCTGTTCATGTATTTTCTATGCACATTATTGACTGATCACAGTATTTCTGTGAGACAGACATTTATCAGATGCAGGTGAGACCTAAAGAGATGAAATGGGTCCCACAATCAGGCTGGACCAGGAAGGGTCTGAATCTGGGTCCTACAGATCCTGACTCTTTCACTCCAGCCCTCTTTCACATCAGCCAAAGTTCCACATGGAGCACCCAATGTACATCCTGGGAGCCCCCGACCGACCCCCTCCAATGGTCCTCCTCATTCATTGCAGTCTCCATCTCTCCCACTGTCCTGGAACACTCTTTGACCCAATCATGACCCACACAGCAAGTGCTCTTTCAAAATTCCCCATTGGAAAGTAGAGGTGCCATTTGCTGGAGAATTCTCTGGTCTCTCTCCAAGGCATGCCCAGGAGGCCCGGGGGCCTGGACATCCTTGCTTGTAACCTGAATGCACTTCCGGTTGTAGGGGCGACTGGATCCGAGTGGGGTTCTGCTACCCGCAAGGCACCACCTTTTCCATCCTCTCCGATGTTCACAATCGCCTGCTGAAGCAAACGTCCAAGACGGGCATCTTCGTGAGGACCTCGCAGATGGACAAAACGGAGCAGAGCTATCCCGGCAGGAGCCACTACTACTGGGATGAGGACTCAGGGTGAGGAGCCCCCACCCGGCTGTGGGAAAGCACCCCGTTCTCATTCTGTCCCCCAGCCTTTCCAGTAGTCCTAAGAACTACCATGCAGCGCGTGCCGGTTAATGTAGAATACTTTCCTAGGCACTGCCATTCTAAGGCAGACTGTACCGTCCACGGATGACATTTTTTTTTAAAGCTGTGAAGCTTTAGGAGTAAAATAAACACTCTATTAATATGCACGTGGATTGTAGGGTATATACCTATTTCAGAAAAAAAGTGAAAGCAGTGAATCTTAGAATTGAGCAAACGTGGTACATGACCTCAGTTCCTTACTACCACTCAGCTGGAGCAGGTGATACTACCCCTGATTTAGAGATGAAGGCAGGAGGCACAGGGCACACAGGAATGACTTGCTCAGAGACCATGGCACAGACTTGGCGTGGCTCGTTTGGAGGCCACGCCTAACTGTACCCAGAGCCCTCCCGCCTTTTGCTGAACTGCACCGGTTCTATTCAGTAGAGATGTCATGGGGACAGATTACCTGCTCACGGAGACAGGGAGCTATTTGGTTTCCTCCCCTAAAAACAGAGTTCTAACCTCTTAAGAATGCCAACACAGCTCCAAAGCGATAAAGCTGTTGCCAGCCAACCCTCTGGGGCCTCGGGGTAAAGGATCATTTCACGGCCATTTTTCCATTCTTGAACTGAGCTCAATGATAAGGAAATAGGAGACGCTGTCTCTTACTTGTTAAGAAAGATACGGCTTTATCGATTTGATGAAAGGAAAAATTCAAATTTGAAAATCAGAAGTGTACGTCAAAATGTTGGGGCTCAGGGAGGCAGGAAATAGCACCCCTTTTCCCACATCAATTCTGAACCAATGGTGGGGCACACAAGACAGCATGTGCAGAGGGAACGATCAGTCTTAATGATGACATGGCTGCTGGTCATCCGAGCTTCCCCAGACCAGCCCCAGTTGCACCTGCCCAGCCCTGAGCGGCGCTGAGCCATCGTGGGCTCCCCACCTGGAGCCCAGCCCCCAGGACTTAGGGCTCACGGGGCAGACCAGGTGCCCGCTCTGTGGGCTGACCTGTATGCCCACCCCCACCAAATGAGTCACCCCACTTCCCCCAGAAGGCGCCAGTGAGGGGGTGAGGCGGGTCCCGGGGTGTTTAGAAAACTCCCTCCCTATGAAAACTGGAGGAGAACTTAAACACCCCTCCTGCGCCAGTAGAAAACATTATGGTAAAAAACCAAACGTTACTAAGGCGAAGCCCTCGCAGCGCCATGTGTGCGCAGTTCCTCCTCCTTGTAGGATCATGAGAAATGGGATGTTCCAAGATGTGAACGTCTCCAAAAAAAGGTTTCAAATTTTTCAAACTGCCACTTAAACAAGTTGAGCCTTTTTGATCAAAACACTGAAAGATCTATGATTTTCCCCCTTTAGGTAGATTTTGTTGTGTAATCTGACCTTTCTGCTGGTGGCTTGGGTGACCCTCAGCCCGCTGAGCCTCATGCTGTGCTTTAGTTCAGTGAGAGCCTTCGGGGCTGGAAGCCGGGTTCTGAGATGTCTGCTTCCCGAGCAGCAGCCCAAACTTTTTAATTCTTCAGGCTGTTTTTAATGATCTTCTCTGCCTCACAAACGTGTTGTTCTTTCTTGCTCACATTCAGAGCACCTGCCTTTAGTGACTAGCTCCTACTCTGCTGTGGGCTGGGACACTGGGTAACCAGCTTGTTATAACTGGGGGTAAAATAAAAAGTGAGTAGGCTGCAAGTGAAGGGGCCTTGAAGTGTCAAATACTTTTTTTCAGACTCTGAATCACCTCTGTAAATCTTTCAAGGGAAAAAAAAAAAGCACTCAAGTGATTTTAGCTGTGTCCTGGTGCCAGCTGCCACCTAAGAGAGGTATTGCTAAACTATAAATAAGCCTAGCATTCAGGTGCATGGCCATCAGTAGGGCTGCTGTGAAATGTTACCTGGTCCCACAGCCAGGATTTGAGCCCAGGCTTTCTGCCGCCAGGGCCTTATTCTTTTCATTCCCCTCAGGGCCTCCCGGTCTAGCTGACCCGGGCACATCCGTGCTGAAGGTGGGGCTCAGGGAAGGCAGCTGCTCTCTGTAAAGTCGGGGATGTGGGCTAGATGGTCTTCCAGGGCCCTCCCAGTTTGCATACTCTGATCTGTCATGACAGCGAGGACACCTGCACACTGGCAGCCTCGGGCAGACGCCTAGGACCACGCCCACTCCTCCGCCTGGGTCTCCTTGCGGGATCTTGCTCATGAACTTGTCCCCTGGGGTGGTTTCTGACCTCGTGCGGGAGACGCCAGTGGAGACGTGATGACAGGCAGCATTAAACTGCCTTCCTCCCCAGCTGCCCGAAGCTCCCCCCACCCCGCGCAGCGCACGGGGCACAGACGGAGCGGCTCTGCGCGCAGCTGCAGCGAGTGATGCCGCAGCAGCCCACAGTTCCATTCCAGGAGCGCTGGATGGCAAGAAGCATGAAGCCACTCAAGGGAGCTCGAAGTGGAGGTGTTCTTGAGAGGGAGCCAAGGCATCTTCAGGAAGCCATCCCAGCTGGGCGCCCTGGGCTCCTGTGCTGAAAACGGGCTGGCAGGGACCAGGTGGCCTGCTGGGCTCGGCTGCTCTTTCTCCTCACGTTCACACACGTTCCCTCGCATGCTGGGCCTGGTGTGTTAGCTTCTTGTTGCAAAACTGCCTTCCTCTCTCAATGCCTCGGTGGGCACATGGCTCAAAACGGTTGCCCCAGTGCCAACTCCATGTGGCCTTCCAGCTTAAGCACCAGCCAGTAGTTGACAAGAGATCCTGGGTCTCTTCATCCAAATTCGAGACGGAGAACCTTCTTGGCCGTTGGGTAGCCAATCGGTGGCCCCTCTGCAAGTCCAGTATGCGCCCCTGGTCCCATCAGCTGTGGTGAGGGGGTGGGGGTGGCGCCAAGGCACGAAGGTGCCCATAAGCTCTCTGGGCAGACTGGGCTCAGCAGAGGGTCCACTCCCAGAGGAGAGTCTGCACCGGACAACCCATACCGTATACTCCAATGTTTCTCATGTGGGAATCAGCCTGAAAGCAGTTTTCTGAGCTAAAAGAACAGCGATAACAAATCCAAACTGAGCCCCTTGGTTTCCTCGTCATCTGATTCCCTGCACCGCCAGGTCCGCTTCTAGTTCTTCACAAGAAGCAAGGATAAATTACGGTTTGGAGAAGAGCTGAGTTAGGAAGCCCGATAGCTTGTTCCCCACCAGGCACAGGGATAGGATGGGATGGAAAAACCCCAGCTCTGTCCCTTGCGTGGTCCTGGCAAGTCACTCCACGTCTCTCATACATGGTTTCCTGATCTGAGAAATAGAGATGCTAACAGCACCCACTGAACAGGATTGTTCAAGGATTAAGTGAGATAATATGTCTCTTTATGGCATGAGCATAGCATGGCATACAGCACCGAAAATTGTCAGTATTAGCTTTTTCTTAAATGCATTTTTAAAAAATTTCTCCAACCACATATAACCTTGCGGTAGACACAGATCCATTTTGTAGGGCCCCCTGGGTCTAATTGCTGTGGCCAGCACAGAGTGCTTGGTAGATGTCTGTGAGAGAGGAGGAAGCGGAGGAGGGGGACCTGGGTACCACAGCAAACGCCCTGCTCTGCTCCTGTGTGCAGGCTGCTGTTCCTGAAGCTGAAAGCTCAGAATGAGAGAGAGAAGTTTGCCTTCTGCTCTGTGAAAGGCTGTGAGAGAATAAAGATTAAAGCTCTCATCCCAAAGAACGCGGGCATCAGCGACTGCACGGCCACGGCCTACCCCAAGTTCACGGAGAGGGCCGTCGTGGACGTGCCGATGCCCAGGAAGCTCCTCGGCGCTCAGCTGGTGAGTGGCTGACGGCGAGCCGGGGCTCCCTTTGCCTTCAGCCGGGCCCAGACCCGTGAGAGTCCTGCCCGGACACCTGCACAGCCCCTCACACCTGTGGACGGTGACTAGGGGGACGGGAGAGGGAGGGGGAGACCAGACGCGTGACTCCCCAGGCCTGACGACCACGCTGGGTCTGGTTTGTTTTCCAGAAGACAAAGGACCGCTTCTTGGAGGTGAAGATGGAAAGTTCCAAGCAGCGTTTCTTCCACCTGCTGAACGACTTTGCTTACATTGAAGTAAGCAACCCTGGCCCCTGCCCTGCACCGCCTTGCTCACTGAGATGGGGTGTTGGTTTCACAGGCCTGTTGTCGCAGAGGGTGGTTGAGAACCACAGAAATTCATCCTCTCCCAGTTCTGGCAGCTGGAAGTCCAAAATCAAGGCGTCAGCAGGGGTGGTTCCTCGTGGAGGCTCTGAGGATGCGTATAATGAGCGTCTGTTCAGGGCCTGTTCCAGGCCTTTCCGGCTTCTGGCAGCTCCCGGCCACCCCTGATGCTCCTTGGCTTGTAGATACACCCCTCCAACGCCTGCCTCTGCCCTCACGTGGTCTCCTCCCCCGTGTACCCGAGTCTTACATCTCCCTCTGTCTTGCTCTTATAAGGGCACCTACCCCTGGATTTAGGGCCCATCCTAAAGCAGGGTGATCTCTCTTCATTACATCTGCAAAGGCCGTATTTCCAAACAAGGTCACTTTCACAGGTTCCAGGAGATGTGTCCTTGGGGGAAGCCACCATTCAGCCCATGACAGAGGGCTACGAGGAATTGATTTAAGTGGGTTTTACAGTTTGAACAGCTGCATAGGTGACTTCTGTCTTCAGAGTCTGCATGAGAACCACTCGGGCAGGAGAACCTCAGGGCTTTGCTGCCTTCAGGACCACCCCCCACCCACATCACCCTTTGCGTTGCTTGTTGTCTGCAGGTGGACGGGAAGAGGTACCCCAGTGCGGAAGATGGCATCCAGGTGGTGGTGATTGACGGGAGGCAAGGGCACGTGGTGAGCCACGCAAGCTTCAGGAATGCCATCCTGCAGGGCATCCCGTGGCAGCTCTTCAATTACGTGGCGGCCATCCCCGACAAGTGAGTCTGTGCCTCTGCGTCTGGAGCTGTCCCACGGCCCAGCAGACCCCTGGCTGAGGCCCCCTCCCTGTCCCTGAGACCTTCATCCCAGCCCAGTCTATGAAAGCTCAGGGAGTCTCCACAGTCTGCCCACCAATAATGGGTGCTGGCTGGGACGGCTCCCTGCCTGGTGCCTCTCCCGTGGGCTCCGGGACCGTTGTGAATGTAGGTCAGGCCGAGGCAGACGGTCTACCCAGCTGCGAATGGGACGCCTGCCCTGGCCTTCTGCCCCCAGCACGACACACTCTCCCAGCATGACCTCATCCCCTCCCACACCTTCAATACGATCCAAATGCTGGTGGCTTTTGAGTGTCTCCAGCCCACATGTCCCTCCAAAACGCCAGGCATTTTTATCCAACTGCCACTTGGACATTGCCACCTGGATGTCTCCTATGGAACTGAATTCTCATAATTAAAAAAAAAAAATCCAGACCAGTCACTCCTCCTCTTTCCCCCGTTTTGACAAAGTCATCATCTCCCATCTGGGCAGCTCGACCAGAGTCTGGGCATCATGCTTGGCTCTTGTCCTTCTGTCATTTCGCCACGCTCAGTGACTATGTCCCGTCAACTCTGCCTGCATCATTGTTCTCCTGCTGGTGACCCCACACTGTCCTCTGCATCGCTGCTCCGTCCTGGCCCTCCCCGTCTGCCAGCCACCCAGCAGGCTCCCTTGTCCAGTCTCCCCGACTCAAATCCACCTACCATACTGGCTGGGGGGCTGAGCTTATTACCTGTAGGTGTCTCCTGTCCCCTTTCCTAGGAATCTTTGGTAATTCCCCTCCACCTTCCAAACCTAACACACACATCCCTTCTTTGGGGAGGTCTCTTCCAATCCGAACAAAAATTTCTAACTACCCGCCAAAGGACTGGTGGGCGTGTCTGCTCCCCCGTCCACAGTATGGACTTCTTGATGTTGGGACCCTGTCTAACTCATACGTGCATTTCTAGTATGATGGGTGTAGGATTCACTCAGTTGCTGATAGTCTAAGTGAAGCGTTTAATGTGATACCCGCCACAGAGGAAGTGCTGTACATATTTATTGATGAAAACAAATGTACTTCCCAGATGCTAGCTGTTTGGTGTTTGATGGGCATGCCGTGAACTGGGCGCTCTGCGAGATTCCAGAGATCGGGCTTTTGTCCCTGCTCTAGTCCCCATCACAAGCTTTTTTAGCATCATATCTTCATCTGCAGATTCATGCAGAAGGCCCAGGTTTGCCGATTCAGGGAACATACGTTATCATCTAGAGATTAGTAGTTTTCATGCCTTTTTGGGCCAGAGGACTTTTTCTTGAAATGAAACAGGATGCAAAAGCCTAGAATAAGTGATGCAGAGCTGCTCTGTTTAGCAAAGGGGTGAGAGGTATAGGACCGCCCCGCCCAGGGCTGCTTTCAGCCCGTGCAGCAGCCCCGGCGCACCTTGCTGGGCGCAGCGCTCACCTAGTACCCAGTGTGCGCTGGGCCCTGGGTTGCTGCCGGGTGCTCAGGAATTGGGTACCACAAGACCCAGCCCTGACTTCGGGAAAGCAGCAGGGAATGGGGCAAGACAGGTGCTGGCCCGCCGTCACTGTGGGCCGAAGCTAGGCTGTCCCACCCTTCCCACCCCACCCACAGGACCACCCCTGGTGCCAGGGTCCCAGGGAAAGGAGGAGGCAGCCACTCACACCATGGCTTGCAGGAGCTTCTTCTGCCCGGCCACCCCATGGGGACCTCTGTGCTGACAGGTGCAGGGGAAGCCCATACCAGACAGAAAGGGGCACCTGAAGTGTGCAGGCAGCTTCTGGGTGTCGCCGGGAGGCTGTGGCAGTGTCTCTCTGACCCACTCCTGTGAGCCCCATCTGGAGGGCATGACCTTGATCTGTGTCCAGCCCAGCAAGAAGACTTAACTGAGCCAAAGGGATGTTGGCTTTTCTTCTGACTTGGAATGAGGGGAAAACAGCCTCCTGGAAACAGAGCCCGAATCCAAGGTTGAGGATGTGTTAGCCATGCTCCCTCTCTCCTTAACAGCCACCCAGCCCTCAGGCTTTCCTGCCCAGCCTTCCTGAAGAGCTGGATGTAGCCCCCAGCTCCCTTCCCATCTACTCTTACTGCACACAAGCTCTTTGCATTTTAAGAGCCTTCCTTTTGCTCCTAGTGGGACACAAGTGGGGGTAACAACAGTTTCCAGAATCCTATACAGTTTTTCCACGTCTGGACTGTGGTCTGCGGTTATGGGATTCCTCTGAGATGCAAACTAGAAGCCCCATCGGGCCTCTGGCCCCGTTTCTGTTCCTGGGGGAGGTGTTCACTTCCTGCCGGCCGGCCCAGCTCGCTGAGTCTGCCACCACGACGGCTGTTTTCCCGGCACCTTGGCCTGAGCACAACCAGGGCAGGGGCGCAGAGACTCTGTGCTCCCGCGGTGGGCTTTTGCAAGTTGGGTCCTTCAGGCTGGACACGGCCACTGCCCCAGGCCTCTGCCCTCCCCAGGCATGGCTCCCCTTCGGCAGGTCCTTGCAGATAGTAACTATTTGCCTCCATCTCCCTCTCCCCGTTTTGTAAAACGGAGCAGTAACGCTGTCCTGCCTGACCAGAGAGGGAGGATGGGAACCTAAGGAGTTAACCCTCCTCTGAGCGCGTGGTAACCCTCCACTCTGCTTCCCTCCATCGCCGTGCCTCATCCAGTCCTACCCAAACAGCCCTGTGCAGATGAGGAGATGCGTGGCGAAGTCCTCCTGTTGCCCGGCCCTGACACAGGTGCTGGCCCCCAGGTGGTATGCTCTGCGTGGCTGCTCTGTCCTCTGTGGGGAGACGTGGAACAGCCGTGAGTGGACAGCAGGCCTAGGAAAGGCCACAGGCGCTGACCGTGGCCAGCTGTGTGGGCGAGCTGCTCAGGGTGTTGGTCACCACATGGAAAGAGCCAGTCAGCTGCTCTTTGCCAAGTCCCTGGCGGGGCTCTGGGCATGGCTAACTCAAGTCCCACCAGGCACACTCCAGCATCCCCCCCAGTGAACCCCGTACTCCAGCTTGCTCTGTCCTCTAATCAGTCCCTTTTCGCTCAGTTCCATAGTCCTCATGGCATCAAAGGGAAGATATGTCTCCAGAGGCCCGTGGACCAGAGTGCTGGAAAAGCTCGGGGCAGACAAGGGGCTCAAGTTGAAAGGTAAGGGGCTTGGGCCGGGCTCCCACTGACCATGACCCAGATGCCTGCTGTGCGGGCTGCTGCCGTCCCCTGCTGGGGCCAGACCACTTTCCCCCCAAGCCTGGGTACAGCCTCAGAATCCTCCACACAGCTAGCAGTCTGCTGGCACATGTGGACAAAAGGCCACCTAGTCACCATCCCTGCACGGCAGCAATGTCCTTCTAACCTGTGACCAGACACTGGAAGGAAATTGCTGCAGTGGCTCACCCATCTAGTCAGCGAGGAGCCCTTTTTTCCAGCAGAAAAGTGGCTCATTTGACCCTCGTATCCCAGTTCCTGCTTCTCCAGCTGGCCAAGGGGCCCTACCTCTTCCTGAACTCCTGGACTTTCCAGCTGCTGCCCAGTTTTTGCACAGCTCTTACTGGTTCCTCAGAGATAGGCAGGGAAGGAGAACATGAAAGCCTGGAGAATCCACGTGGCTTCTCCAAGGTCACGCAACTCTCCTGCGATGAAGCCCGGCACCGACCCCGCAGGGAGGGCGCCAGCCAGGGCGGACGCGGCAGCCCTCCATTGCCATTGTCCCAGGCCGTGTCCAGAGAGAGTCCCTGGGGAGGCCGGGGGGGGGGAGGCAGAGCAAGCACACAGCTAGCAGTGGTAACGTCCATCGTAGTTCCCAGGCAGTGCTCAGCCCTGCACCTTGCTGAACCGCTTAGAATGATCTCGGTTGTTCATTAATAACCTGGGCAACAGGTACTATTATTCCCATTTCAAATGAAGAAACTGAGAATTTGTTAAGTAATTTAAGATTAGAATTTGGATCCTAATTTTTCTAATTCAAAGCCAGAGTCCTTAGCTGCCCTGCCATCTTGACTTCAAAACACATCAAAGCTGCAGCCCATCACCCGGGCCGTTCATCCCAGGCGAAAGAACCACCAGGAACAATGAAAGTCCTTCAGATGAGCCAAAAGAGAACACAAGGGAAAGAGAAGCGTCTTCTCTGGGCCAGGCCTGAAAGCATTTGGGGGCATCTGTCCTTTAAATTAAGGACAAAAGTTGCCAAAAGCTGATGTTCAGTCAAGGGGCACTTTCCCAGTGCTGCCTGCCAGGCCAGACTATTCCTGAGTGTAGACACGGATCCCCAAGCCTCCTGGGCACCAGGCTCTGAGCTGCGAGAGCCCTGTGTGGGCCCCCAGAGTCGAGAGTTCTAGTCTGGGCTGCACCATCTACTCCGTGCCCTTGGGCAAATTCCTTTACTCTTCAGAACTTCCTTCTAAAGCTACAGAATGTTGGAGCTGGGACAGAGGTCTTGGAGATGAGTGCCATCACTTGACAGATAGGGACACAGAGAGGGGCAGAGACTTGCTGCTGATCGTAGGGTCAGCTCAAAGGTGGCTGGAGGTCCTAGGGGGTCCCCCGTGTGAAGCAGAGCCAGCACTCTGCACGGGGGGCTGGGAGGCTCAGGGGAGACCCTGTGTGCCCCGTACAAACAAATGTCAGGTAGCATCAGTAGCTGGGCACAAACCTCTTCCCAGGGGGACACAGTCCAGCATGGCTAGAGGAGGGGGTGCTTGGTGGGGGCAGGGGAATGGCGATGGGGAACCCTGGAAGGTGGAGGGAGAGTGTAGGCATTCTCTCTTGAAGTTTCTGCTCACGTGACATCACTGCTTTTCAGAGAAAATGGCATTCGTCGGCTTCAAAGGCAGCTTCCGGCCCATCTGGGTGACTCTGGACACCGAGGACCACAATGCCAAAATCTTCCAAGTCGTGCCCATCCCCGTGGTGAGGAAGAAGAAGCTGTGAGGACCGCCGTTCCCCGGAGCCACCCCACAGTGGGCTCTGATGGGGGACTCTTGGCAGCAGACCAGGGCAGCACGGCTGGTTCCCCCAGCCCCTGTCCAGCAGCTGCCTGGGAAGGCCATGCGTCAGCCCTGGTGGCCCAAGGGAAGGACATCAGAGACCCCTGGTGCTGCCAGCTGCCCCCTCAAGTGTCTGCCTGCAGCCCCAGGACAGTGTCGGCTGATGCTGGAACCTTCTCTTTCCCGCAGCCTCTTGGGTGCTTTTCTCTGACCTGTGCCTCTTCGGGGGAGGAGGGGGCGTGGGGACCACACGAGGAGCCCTGGGCTATGCCAGCAGCAAAGGTCCCCCTCAGCTCGGAGGCAGCCTGGGGCCTGGGCCGTCCACAGACCCCCGTGCTCCCCAGCACGCACGCTAGAGTGGTAGATGTAGGGAAGAGTCCTGGTCTAGGGAGACCTTCACTCCTCCGCGGGCGGCGCTGGCGTGTAGCCAGAACTCGCCAGGGTAGGACCAGCCACCCTTGGGGAAGGGTGAGCCTGCCTCCGGAGGGGTTCAACCTTTCGGGAGACTTTGGGACCCAGGCTGGGAGTTGGACTAGGTGGCTTTTAAAGGCCTTTTCAGTTCTGAGATGCCAGAAGTCTCTGGCTTTTCACAGTGTGCCTAGAACCCAGCAGGAGGTGAGAACATTCTTTTTAACCACATCCATGATGCTGGATGCCCTGGCATACAGGGTGGAAGGGCGCGAAGTCATGACTAGGGCAAGGGGCTCACAGTCTGGCGGGACAGGCGGTCAGGGGTTTGTGCCCTCTGCTGCCAGGTGGAGAAAGCCAAGACAGGTAAACTGGAATCCAGTGTCAGTTCCCAGGAGGGAAAGACCTTCCACGCTCGGGTGGGTCCGAAAGCTTCCTGCGGGGGGAGGCCACGGGGCTTTGCAGGAATGAAGGGCAGGGGCCTTTGGACGGGCAGGGATGAGGCAGCCTCTGGCAGGGCTCAGGGGTTGAGCCCTTCCTGCCCGCATCAGGCCGCAGCAGGGTGACTGCAAGGTCACTCTTTGCCCTCAACCTGCTGGCCCACCCATCGTGGCGAGGCCGGCCTCAGAAGGGAGGGGCGGGGAGTGCTGAGCCCCACCCCCGAGTCCAGGAGAGGGAAGAGTCAGGTTGAGAAAGGTGAGCCCCGTCTGCTCTCCCCCCAGGGCCCCGGGAGCCGTGGGGGAGCCCTGAGGCCACGCCCACAGCTCTGTGAGTCTGGGGCTTCAGGGCTGGAAAGGACCTTAGGAAATACCTAGTCCAAAGCCTTCACTTTATAGATGGGACGCATGAGACTCCAAGATGGGGAAGAACCACACGGCCAGGGCAGGGCCGGGCCGGGAGCCCCCCTCCCAGCACTTGCTGCCACACCACATTGCCTCAACAGCCGGCCCCGGGCACTCCTGAAGGAGCTCCCCGGCATGGGGACGAGTCCCCTTGAAGGGGGAAAAAGGAAAGATCAGAGTAGAAAGAGAATTGGCGAATGACTGTTTCTCTCTTGGCCCTCGGCGTGCACAAGGGCGCCCTCCTCTGGGCTGCGGTGGTCCTGCAGCCGCCCCGCAGGGCGCCCAGCAGCTGCAGGGACCTCACTGGTGCTACCTGTCTCCGCAGTTCTGCAGAAGCGCCCCGCAGGCAGCGTCGGGGCGCCCTAGCACGTTGGGGCGAGCCAGCTCGGCGGCTCTCCAGGCTCGGAAGAGCTTTGGGTCCATCCCAGCCTCCCAGCTACTGTCTAATAATCTGCTCTCTCTTGCCCACCTTGGAGAGAGCCGAGAGAGCTTCCGGAAGCTCTGTCTGTGGTTTATACTCTCTCATGAGGTACCAGGCTCGCTCTGGGTCTCATGATGACTACAGGTGTCCCCTTTCCTCCCTTGGCCCCGTCTGCCCGGCTGCACCCATGAGATTCAGCCCACGGGTCTGCTCCCCAGGTTGAGCCAACTGCCAGAGAGGTTCCTCCCACTACACGTCTTTCAGCTGCTAGGAGGGGACTGTGGGACTCCGCCTCTTGAAACGTGGCAGCTTCAAAGGCCCAAGTCCCCGGAAAGGCCTCTTCCAGGCAGATCCGAGGCCAGAGGGAGCAGAGTTCAGATGACCTCATGATCTTCGTATTTATAGTTCTGTTGAGTTTTTTCTAAACTCCTAATGCAAGGGTCTCACACTGTGAACCACTTAGGAAGCGATCACTTCAGATGGCCAGGAATGTTGACTGTCTTTGGTTCAGTTTGTTGAAAAAAAATACGTATCTATTTGAAAATCCTCAGAGTTGTACATATGTCTAACAGTGCAGGATCCGTGCACAAACTTTCCTTCCTGAAGCATTCACCAAGAGCCAATATCCAGGCGTGCTCTTGGTAGCACAAATTTTCTTATTGCTTAGAAGACTGTTCTTGTTCTTTCTGTTTGAAAGCATCGAAATGAGATAGGCCTTTAAAAAAAAAAAACACTCCTCTGAAATGCTTGTCTTTTTTTCCCCTGTTGCCGAAATAGCTGGTCCTTTTTCGGGAATTAGATGTATAGTGTGTTTTGTATGTAAACATTTCTTGTAGGCGTCACCGTGAACAAAGATATATTTTCTATTTATTTATTCTATATGCACTTCGAGACGTCATTGTCAGAGAAATGAAGAAGTGTCTTAAATGTCATGTTTGGGGATGTCCTTTGGACCGCTTGAAGGGGGTGTACCCAGAGCCTTCTGCTTGCAGCAGAGGACACTGGCTCTGGTCTGGAGATCTTGCTGTACCATAGTAAACATACGAAGGATGCCACGCGCCCGTCTGCTTGTTTTGTGTTTCCTTTAAAATGCGCCTCATTTCAAGCCAGACAGCTAAGGAAAATAAGATTGAGGAAATCGCCCGAGGAGTCGGCCTCTCACTTCCAAGAACTATCCATATGTCAAATTTCTGCCTGGTCCTGCCCCTAGGGGGCGCCCACGAGAGCAAGTGGAGATGGTCTGTGAGAGAGGCTGTCACTCACAGGGCCAACCACATCCCACTAGGTCATTCTTCTTCCTAAGCCATCGGTAAGCTGTCAGGGCAGCACCCTCCCCGAGGGGAAGCCGGGACTCAGCAGAGTCTGGGCTCGAAGCAGGACTCTCTCCTCCTCACGGGTGCAGTTTGACCAAAGGCCAGCGTCTAAGAAGAGTGTGGAGGTTGAGGTGGAGAAATAGGTCCACCTTAAGCTGCCAAACAAGAGGGGCAGAAGCAGGTTAGAGGGGACCCCTACGGAGAGGTGAGAGGGGCCGCGGGGTCTGGAGAGGAGAAAGTGAGAAGCTTAGAACAGGGTGAACGGGACGGTCCTAGATCTGTGCTGTCCAGTAGGGCGGCCACTAGCCTCGTGAGGCCACCAAAGTTGAAATTAATTAAAATGAAATAAAATCAAGCATTCAGTTCCTTGGTTACAGCAGTTAGCCACATGTGAAGTGTTCAATAGCCCGTGTGGCTAGTCGTTACCATACTGGATGGAGAAAGTGTAAAACATTTCCTTCAACACAGAAAACTTCTTCTCTTAATGAAAGCTTCTGGGGGCTCATACACTGGACTTTTAAAATCTATGCCTTTAATGTGTGTGCGTGTGTTCAGTCCACTTAAAGGGGCTGACACCAGATTGGTGCTATCAAGTTGGCAATAAACAAACACAGTCATCTCTCAGTATCTGCAGGGGATTGGTTCCAGGACTCCCGCTCTGGTCCTGCCGTGGGCACCAAAATCCACAGATGCTCAAGTCCCTCAGTCTGTCCTCTGTATCTGCGGTTCTGCATCCAGGGATTCAACCAACCTCTGATCATGTAGTGTCTTCCACCCTCGGTTGGTTGAATCTGCGAATGGAGAACCCGTGGACAGGGAGGGCCAAATGTAAGTCAGGCAGACCCGCCGGGGCACCTGTGTCCATGTGCAGTGGACAAAATGGCCCCTGCCCTCAGGAAACTTTACCTGGAGGGAGAGATCACTCAACAAATATTTTTGAGCACCCATTCTGTGCCAGGCATGGCACAGTGAGGAACATAAAAGACCTCCCTGGAGACCGAGCGTCCCCACGCCCAGTGTGGCAGAGCTCAGAAGCCGGGAGGAGTTCTTGCCTGGAGTGGTCAGGGGTCAACGAGCGGAGGTGGGGCTGGAGTCGGCCTGGGGGTCAGGGTCAGAGGATGGGCCTTCTCAGAAGAGGCACAGCCGGGTGAGGGGGAAGGTAACCAGAGGTGAGGGCTGGAGGGTGGCGGGGCATAAGGCACAGTAGTCGTGAGGGGGAAGGTGGGAAGGTGGGTCGGCCAGACATCGGGCAGGTTTTAGGAACCACTGGATTTAATGATGGGAGGGGGTCCCTATGGGGCCCTCGGCGAGCAGTTTCGCGGCTTGAGTGAGCGCACAGCCCGAGGGGCTCAGCGGCGGAGTTAGGGAAGGCACCCGGGGAGGGCTGAGGGCCAGCCAGAGGCTGACTGGGGAGCCGGGGACTGCAGCCGCTCAGCGCGGAGCAGCAGGAGCAAGAGATACACCAGATACACCAGAGCGGAGAGCGCGGGTGGCCCTGGGGCCCCTTCCACGTCTGTCCCTTCAGCAGTCCCCAGGCGCCCACGGGAGTCACCGGGCCAGCGCACCCAGCCCCTGTGCGCAGGGACACCGGCCAGCTAGCAGCTGCCTACGCCTGCCCGGGAGGAGAGGCGAGGAGGTCCTGCGGGACCGGGGCGCGGAGAACGCCCCTGGGGGACTGGGGCTTCCGCCGCCCCGAAGGGGTGAGAGGCTCGGGCACGCAGCCCGGGGGAAGGCGCCGCTGTCCGCTCAGAGAGAACGCAGGGCGGCCTCGAGAGGTCAGGAAGTCATCCGCTTAAGCTGCAGTGGCACGAAGTCGGAAGCGGGAGTTTCGGGGACTTTGCCCCCATGCCCACGGGACAACACAGGCAGTCCCGGGCCTGCCCTAGGCCTGCCTCCTCTGTCCCCAGCTGGGCCCCAGCACACCGAACGCGCATCATTCTCACCCACTCAAGGCGCTTGGTGTCCCCACAGCGTCACAGGTGAGCTGTTCCCTCCGACTGGCACCCCTTTCCCTCCGTCCTCTCCCCTTGGCTTACGCCTGACCTCCCTGAGGCTTGGCTCCGCGCAAAGCCTTCTCTGACCCACCCCTGGCCCCGTGGCCCCTTCTCCTTCTGTGCCCAGGACCACTGGGCCATGACAGCTCTGGTCCTGCCTCGGGCTGCCACTCACCCCTTCTACCAACCTGCAGGGCCATCTGACCCGCCCACACGGGGCAGAGGTGCGCCCAGTAATGTGTCATCGTCACCCTGTAGAATGAAGGCAGGGGCAAACCCATCACTGAAGCCAGAAGCCAGATACCCTCCGCTCCCACTCCAAGCTCCGTAACCTGGGGGCTGGGTAAGGGGGGAAGTTTTCTCCCCAAGGGCAGGAGTAAGAGGAGGGTGGGGGAGGGGAGGACTCCGTTATGGAAGGAGCAGGTCTGCGGGCACTGGCAGGGCTCCCCATCCTCGTCCTCGGGCCTGGGTTGCGGGTACAGAGCTGGAAGGAGGGGCGCTCACTGTTCCAGGCTGGGCAGCCTCTCCTCCCTCACTCTCTCCGGTCTTTCCACCTCCTCCTCCCTCTCCTCTTCCCTCGCTCCAGATTCTGCTCCTCAAAAGCCCAAGGAACTAGCTTGCAATAGCAAATTTCTCCTCAACTGCAGGTTCCCTTGGTTAAATTCCTTTGGCGACTGCCGTCTGGTCCAACAGAGGTGCAGGGATGGGATCCCTCCCAGCCTGGGATATCCACTGATTTAAAGTTAGAAGTAGGAGCCCAAAGGCAGAAAACACCACCTTGGCCCTCAAGGGATTCTCAGGGAGGAGCAAAGATCCCAGGGAATTTGTAAGGAAGCTTCTATCCCAGGGGTTCAGGGGCCTCCTTGGCACTGGAATTAATCCCTCGTGACCTGTTTCTTCCAGACCTTGGTATGTAAATTCCCAGTCTGGCAGAACTTGTCACCCCTGTTTATAGAAGAGGCAAGGCCCAGGGACATCAAATTGGCACTCAAGGTCATCCAGCGTGGGCTGTGGTGGGGGCCCAGGATCAAAGAGACCTCAGTGCTTCCAGACCCATCACTGAGCCCCACTCCCCACATGGAGAAGGCCTAGCGACTGGAGGCGGGGGAGCGGATGCAAAACAGGCCAGATGTCCCCGCAAATTCCTGACATTCCGGGAGGGCAGCCCTCCGAGCTCAGAGCACTGCCCAGCTCCAGGCCCCACACTTTTGGACTCAGAAACTTCACCTTGGAAACTTCAGCAGACTTCTCTGGAGGAAAAAAAAAAGTGCTCTGAGCGTGCTAGGGCCCTGTGCAGACATCTAAAAATCTTGCAAGCTGGGATGCTCAGATCCAGGGTCTGACAGAACCTGAGTGACAGGCTCATTGCTCGGCTTGAGTCAATTCAACAAGGTCTGTGGAGGGTTTGCCACGTGGCCCTGGCTGCCAGCTCACATTTCCCCAGGTGCTGGACCCCGTAGAGACGGCCCTGGAGTTTCTGGCTTTTGACACATGAATGAGACTTCCTGAAATTTGCCCCCCAGAAATGTCCTTGTCCTGGCAAACAGCCTGCCGTCTCCTGTAGCCCATACTGGAGCAGCTCTGTCCCCTGGTCCTTTTCAGGGTGAAGCCACATTACCTGAGCGTGAAGACCCTTGACCATGCAAGCCTCTGGGAGCGCAGTGTCCAGGAGGTGGCAGCCGGGTCTGCTCCTGCCTGGAGGGAAGCAGACCCACTCTGCTCTTGCATCCACTGCCCTGGGCAGATGAGCATTCTTCTGGAACAATCTCTGCAGCCCATGCAGACTTCCATCCCACCCCCCTCCTTGGGCTGCTAGGTTCCTGGGAAGAGAGCAGCGCCTTTAGAAGAAAACAGTGAGAACGGGATGCCATGCTGCCTTTTGCTAGCAGGGACCTTGGACAAGGGGCTTAACCCTTATGAGCCTCTGTTTACTCATCTAAAAGAACAAAAAAATATAGTGATAGTTAACACGATTAGAACACCGTGTCAAGGGCTTCACACTCGCTCATTTAATCCTCAGCACTTCTAGGAGGTGGGAACTTTTGTTAGCACCCACAGGCTTAGCTGAGGTGCTAAATGCTGTGCCCAAGATGATACAGCTTGTAAACGCAGGGCCGGGCAGTCCAGTCCCTGAGCTGCTCTCTAACGGGCCTCACGCTAACGGCTAATGAACAGTAACCTAGCAGGGTGACGGAGAGAAGTGAAATAAAGTGTGGAGAGAGCCTGCACACGGCGAGGCTCAGTAAATGGGAAGAGACCCTGAGCATCTTTTAATGTCACCCGTAAACACCAGGAGGGCAGGGGCCTTGCCTGCCTTGTTCGCCCTCACCCCCAGCACCTGCACAACTCCTGGATTTTGTAGGTGTTCAGTAGGGACTTGGCAAGTCGGCATGCAGTGAGGCCTGACAGGCAGGAGCAGCCCTCTTCCCAGGCAGAGCCCGACGACCTGAGTTCAAATCCCGGCTCTGTCACTTCTTGGCAGTGTGACCATGGAAAAAATACTTCACTTCTCTGTGCCTCAGTTTCCTTGGGTGTCAAGTGGCGATGACAATATACTGTCTACTGCACAGGGTTGCCATGAGGATGGAGTAATTCAGACAGAGCAGTACACATGGATCAGATAATCCTTTAGGTCTCAAAGAGAAATTCAGAGAGAGGTGTATGCAGATTTTCACAAATATGTGGCACAGACTGAGCGATCTGTTAATTAAGATAATAGTTGAAGAATGCTCACCGAAGGATGGACGGCAAC